GGCCTCTGCGGCCGTTGAGCAGCCCTTGCCTCCAGGGGCCGCCACCGCCCTAGCGTGGCGTCTCAACATCGGCGGTGAGAAGGTCACAGTGGTGAGGTGGGGACCCGCCTGGCAAGCTGCCTTCCAGAGCGCGGCGTCGTGGCTGAGGTCTTTCGCACCCGCAGGGGCCGCCGAGCCCGAGGGCAGAGATGACCTGCACTGCCTCCTGCGGGCCTTGCACGCCTATAAGCGCCTGTTTCAGACAGGCGGCGCCGAGCCGATCGACGAAGCCTCGTGGTTGCATCCTTACGTGGCCGTCGTCGAGCCCGAGGCTATCCCCGCGGGCGCTGACCTCCAAGCCATGGGGGCGGGCGCCATCCGTGGCATCGGGCTCGGCTCAAAGATCGAGCACAGGCGGCGAGCGGGCAAGTTGGCCTGCCTTTTCGACCTTCTGTACCACGTGCAGGACGGTCGCGGCGCCATCCCAGCAGCGCTGTGGGGATCGCATTCCCCTCCGTCCGAGATCCTCGACGCCTTCGCGGAGGTGGTGCCCGTTCCGCATCATTCGGGCCTCACGTCCTCGGCAGCTCGTTCCGAGCTCGCCGAATCGGCCGCAGCTGCGCGTGCCGAACCGCGCCCGCCCTTTGACTGGGAGACCCTCGAGGGAGGGGGCGCTCTGCCCGCCGAGATCGAAGCAGGGGCTCGCCGTGCTTACCGTAACATGGGCGGATCCTTCAGCTCGGCGCGGGCGATGCTGGCGGAGGCGTCGGGGTTCGAGACCGACGGGCGGGACACCCTCGTTCCGCCCTTCTACGCGTCCAGGCGCAGGAGGGCCGCCACGCTGATCAGCTCTCCCAGCCCTGGCCGCCCTGCGCTCATCCTGTGGTGCGTCTGCGGCCTCTGCATCTCTCTGGGAGCCGCGGCGCCGACCGCAGGCCAAGGGCTTAGTCGGGCTGCGCCTTCCGCGCCCGCTCGCCCTCCGCGCACTCCCTTCGTGCGCGATTCTCACCTCACCTCCGCGTATCTCGATCGTCGCTCGAGATCGATTGATGCGTTCGAGCTGTGGTTAGCAGAACACACTGGCGTGCCACCCGCCACTCTTTACCGTAGCGGAATACTTCTCGCCCGTTTCCTCGCGACCTTCGGCGTGTGGCTTCATGATGCAGGTTTCCCTCATTATATTCTGGCCCATGCCATCTTGGGAATCCAGAGCGCTCATCCGCATTGGAAGGCCTTTCTGACAGAAGCTTGGGACGTAGCGAAACAATGGAAGCTCGCGGAGCCGCCAAAGCTCCGCCCCCCCTTACCACGCGCTCTGCTGCGCGCTATGGTCGGTCTCTGTCTCGCCTGGGACTGGCCTGTGATGGCGGCCTTGCTGCTCATGGGCTTCACGATGTTCCTCAGGCCTGGCGAACTGCTGGCGTCACGCCGCTGTGACCTGTCGCTTCCATGCGACCGCCTCGAAGTTGAAGGGGATGCTTTTCTCTCGATTCTTGTTCCAAAGACCAGGAGAACGTACCCGACGCAGCATGCTCGCTGCTCCGATCGGGGCACGGTGAAGATTCTGAATCAAGTGTTTGGGAGGTTGGCTTCCACCGATCCTCTCGCCCCTTTCGGTGCGAGCGGCTTCCGTACTCGGTGGAATCATCTGCTTTCGGCCCTGGGCGTCCCTCTTGCCAAAGCAGGTCAGGGGCTCAACCTGACGCCCGCATGTCTGCGGGGCTCTGGCGCAACAGACTTCTATATCGCTACGGAAGACGTCCCTCGCGTCTTCTGGCGCGGGCGTTGGCGTCAAGCTTCCAGTGCCGAGCGCTACCTGCAAGCCGCCGCCGCTTCCACAGTTCTTGCTGCGCTGCCCGAGCCCGCACGGGCGCGGATCTTGTTCTTCGCCACCGCCAGCGACCGCCTTGTCGCTTCGTTCCTCCAAGTCGGCCCCGCCGCTTGGCCTGCCCTACTTGCGGCCGCCCGCCAAAACCTTGTCACTTCGCAAGGTCCTTGAGCACGGGTATGGCTGCCTCGCCGACGTCGGCGAGCAGGCGGACTCCACCGCCTGACGCGCGGCGCCCCGGCTTGAGCGCGCGGGACGGGCCTGCCCATTTTGGGCCGCCCCGCGCGCGCACGCCGCGGCCGCGCTCGGAGACAGCTCGCTAGCGCGCGAGCGGGAGAATGCCTCTTCTATTCTCTGTGAGCAAGCTCCTGCTGTCTCCGCAGCTTCTCTGCCCCCCTCCCTCCTCTCCCACTCTAAGGCTGACGGGCGCTGCCTCGCCGACGTCGGCGAGCAGGCGGACTCCACCGCCTGACGCGCGGCGCCCCGGCTTGAGCGCGCGGGACGGGCCTGCCCATTTTGGGCCGCCCCGCGCGCGCACGCCGCGGCCGCGCTCGGAGACAGCTCGCTAGCGCGCGAGCGGGAGAATCCTTATTCTCGCCATGCCCTGCGCATTCTCCCCATCATCCTCAGTTTTTTTTTGCGGAGGCTCCTCCTTGCAGAGCCTCTAGGGGCCTCACAAAAGTTGTTTCAGGCTTTCTTGAGGCCTTCTGGAGACCTCCTGGGCGTATTCTGGGGGCATCCGGGGGCTTCCTCGGGCCACCCTGCCTCCAACCGCGGTCTGCCTGAACGACCGAATCACGATTTGGAATTCTTCGGAGGGTGTCTTTGGACCATCTTGGGCCGCGATAGGGCTCTCTGAGGCCATCTTTGACCCGTGTTGTGCCGTTTTGGGGCTCTCTTGGACTGCCTGGAAGCCCGTTCATATGGTTGTGGGGCGATTTTGGAGCCTCCCAGGCGGGTTCGGGCGCCCAGAAGACCGCCGTCTTGGAGCGTCGGGAAGCCGAAAAGAGGAGAACCCCACAATTCACCAAAAACCAACAGAAAATCATTGATTTTTGCCTCGGGGGGCCTTCTTGGGAGTGCTCTTGGGGCCCTTTTTGGGGCCGTCCTGGAGGCCTCTTGAGCCATCTTGAGGTCACGTCGGTCACTCTTGGAGCGCTCTTGTGCTGTCCTGGGGGCCTCTGGGGCGTCTCCGATGACCCCCCTGATCGCCCTAGGCGTGCTGGGAAGGCTCGGCAAAACGCCATGTGAGGCCCGGTGGCCGCTTCGAGGCCCGTCTGGAGGGTCCCAAAGCCCCAGATCCCAGGAGTCCGGTTTTGGGGGGGGGACGGGTTTCCCCCCACCCGGGCTTATAAAAATATAGGAAGAGGAATATATACACAAGTGGCACGTGTGTGCCCAGGCTCATACAAAAAACTGAAGGGGCGTTTGAAGCAGGAGTGACATGCAACAGCGAAGTCGCACTCGAGCGCAAGTGGAGTTGCCACACCTTGCGATGTGTGTACCAGGGCCCCCCAGCAAGCCTCAGGAGGCCCGACTTGGATACCAGAAGAGGCTCCAGGAGGCCCCAGGATTGTGAGTGTTGTGTGGGTGTGGCTCCAGGAGGCCGCAGGAGGCCCCAGGAGGTTTCAGGAGACCCTCAGGAGGCTCGGAGGCGGGGTCTGGGGTACCAGAAGGTTCAGAAAGCCCCAGGAGGCCCCAGGAAGTTACAGGAGGCCCCCAGGAGGCTCCGAGGCGAGGTCTGGGGTACCAGAGGGTACGTCGGGGCTCGATTTTGGGAGATTGTTTCAGGCGAAACCGCCATTCTCTGATAATCGGGGTCGAACTTATTGAAATTACCATGTGTTGTTGAAGGTTTTATGTTAGAATGTTGAAATTCCTATGTGTTTTTTCGACCCTGACGTCACGATCTGCGTGAGGGGTGCCACCGATTTTCAGAATTTCGAGGATGTCCCTAGCGAAACGGCCAGACAAATCGTGGACGTGGCGCCCCGCTTACGCAAAAATCGCCTCTGAGATCTACTCCCTCGGAGAGGTGCGTATGATAATATATATACATACACATATGTATGTATATATATATATATATATATATAAGACTGCAGTGGCGCTTCGCGCCATGCACCTTGGTCCTCGAAGTTTGGTATGTAGGCGGAACAGCAGGAAGGTCAAGCCGACAATTTAGCGATATTTCTTGGTTGGCTTTTCTGGCATCGCCGCTATGGTTAATAATGTTATGCGGTATCCTTCCTCCATGCTTCTCTTTTTATTTTCGCCATACCCTGGGCATTCTCCCCATCTTCCTCAGCTCTTTTTTGCGGAGGCTCCTCCTTGGAGAGCCTCTGGGGGCCTCACACAAGTTGTTTCAGGCTTTCTTAAGGCCTTCTGGAGGCCTCCTGGGCGTATTCTGGGGGCATCCGGGGGCTTCCTCGGGCCACCCTGCCTCCAACCGCGGTCTCCCTGAACGACCGGGTCACGATTTCGAATGCTTCGGAGGGTGTCTTTGGACCATCTTGGGCCGCCATGGGGCTCTCTCAGGCAATCTTGGACCCGTGTTGTGCCGTTTTGGGACTCTCTTGGACTGCCTGAAGCCCTTTCGGATGGTTGTGGGGCGATTTTGGAGCCTCCCAGGCAGCTTCGGACGCCCAGAAGATCGCCGTCTTGGAGCGTCGGGAAGCCGAAAAGAGGAGAACCCCCAAATTCACCAAAAACCAACAGAAAATCAATGATTTTTGCCTCGGGGGGCCTTCTTGGAAATGCTCTTGGAGCCCTCTTTGGGGCCGTCCTGGAGGCCTCTTGGACCATCTTGAGGTCACGTCGGTCACTCTTGAAGCGCTCTTGTGCTTTCTTGAGGGTCTCTGGGACGTCTCCGATGACCCTCCTGATCGCCTTAGGTGTGCTGGGAAGGCTTGGCAAAACGCCCTGCGAGGATCTGGTGGCCGCTTCGAGGCCCGTCCGGAGGGTCCCAAGACCCCAGATCCCGAGAATTCGTTTTCTTTTGGGGGGGGGGGCGGGTTTTCCCACCGCCCGGGCTTGTAAAAATATAGGAAGAGGCATATGTGTGTAAGTAGGGACAGATTGGAGAAGCCGTCGCACCGGTGAGCGGTGGCCGTCGCCCCGGGAGGTAAACGGTCCGGTATATGTGCGGTCCGGTATTGTGTTGCTCGCTGGCAGTCGGGGCCTCCGCTGGGAGGTGGACACACTCACCTACGTTGGCAACTTGGCAGCGGAGACGTGCAAGCACAAGGTATCGAGTTGATTTGGCATGTGATTGGAGACATTCCTCAGATCCGGGCGTCGCCCGAGAACCGTGACGGCGGGTTTCCAGCGTTTTGGACTTCTAGAGGTCTGTTCCCAGCCTGGGGATTGTCAGAAACGACTCAGGATGAATAGCTGGCCCTGGGAAGGGGTCGGGATCTTCTGCTGCCTACATCACAAATAAATCGCGACGTCGGAGGAGAGGGATGTATCAGCAGTAAGAGGCAGATGAGGGAAGTCATACGGTGTGCAGTTCAGACTGTGCATGCGGAGCGACGGAGGAGAGCAGCAGGGACACGAATGAAGTCCCCCTCCGCGAAGGGCAGTCTTTGCAGCATCAGTCAAGGTTGAAATCTGTTTGCTTGAAACATTATCCTGGAAACGCTTCCAAGACACTGAAACAAGCGTTCCAAAATTACGGATGAGTGTTTCCGAAAGTCGCAGTGGAGTCGCGCCGAATCTCAAAAACGCCTCCGTGTCGACCCCCGCACGGAAAACACTGTGGTCATGTGTTCCTGTTACAACTATGGTGGCGTTCTCGCGTTCCGGACTCCCGACGCTTCAAGACCGCCCACAACCCTTAGGTCGGGCTTGTTCCTCTACGGGAGGAATATTCACACATAGTCAAAAAGTCTGGGGACTGTTTTTGCATTCTCGGGTATGTTTTGCATATGTTTGGTGTATGTTTCATTTGTCGTCCAAAATCCGCCTTAGGAGGACACGCCCGACCTAACACAAGCCTCCAAAGTTCGTGCCAAGACGCTCCAGGAGGCTCCCGGGGCGTCCCAAGAAACCTGCTCGGCATGGGGACGGAAAGCGCATGTATTTCGTGAGGGCGCGCGATCGCTTGCTTAGGGTCTTGGAACCCGTGCTAAGACATGGGCACGACAAGCAAAACATCTAGCGAACACACATTTTGCGAAAATCAACGGATATTGAATTCCTGGGCCTTTGGGGGTTCTGTTGGGAGTTCTTTTAGGTAGTCTTGGAGCCCTGTTGGGCCTTCATTGGGCCCTTTGGGGTCGTCTTGGGGGGCTTGGGCCGTCGTGGGGCCCTCTTGGGTCCCTCTGGGACCCTCCTAGGGACCTCCTGTTGCGTTCTTGGTGCTCTCCTGGGAACCCTTCGGGACCCTCAGGGGCCTCTCTTGGGCCGTCTCGGGGCTCTGTTAGATTGTCTTGGAGCCTACTTGGGCCGTCTTGGGGCTCTCGTAGGGGCCTTTTGGGCCTCCTGGGGCGGTCTTGGGGCGGTCGTTGGGGTCCCTTGAGCCGTCTTAGACGGTACGGTAACGAAAAAACAACGAATGTACACAACGTACACGTTTCCTGAAAGAAGCGGATGACGTTTGCTTCCTGGGTGTCCTCTTGAGGGCTTTTTGGGGCGTCTGGAGAGCCGTTTTGGCCGTCTTGAGACAATCTTGGGCCGTCTTGGGGTCCTCCTGGGCCTCTCTTGGCCGTCTTGGAGGTGTCTTCCGCCGTCTTGGGAGCTTCTTGGGCCACCTTGGGCGCTCTTGGGGCTGACTTGGGCCGCCTGGGGCCGACCAATGGCCCAAAATTGGGGCGATTAGATTTGGGATGGGATAAAACTAGTCGAAAAATAGTCTGGGGAGGATGTTTCGACTATTCTTTACAATTCGGGAGCATTTTGGTGGGATCTGTTCCATTGTTCGTCCAAAATCAGACTGTAGGAGGACACGCCCGACCGAGGGTTCGTAGTAGAGCCCGGGAGCCCCCAACTTGGCCAGAATCACTAAACCAGGTCTGCCGTAGCTGGTGTTTTTTCGAGTGACGGCAGGTCCCAATAAACCCAGTTCTGCCAACGCCCGACAGGAGTCCACCAAGAGGCCCCCAGAGGCGCCGAAGACCCCCCCAAAGGGTGCACGAGGTCTCAGCACCCAAGAAGTCCCAAATGTGCCTACAAGAGTCAGTGTTTGAAGGATGGTCCCGAGGATCACCAGACGACCCCAGGTCCGTCCAGGATGGCTGGCAAGCAAACCGTGTTCACCAACAGGTGTTTGGGCATTCCTGGAGGGAGTGTTGGTCTCGATGTATGTCTATGCAGGTCGGTACGTGTGCACGTTGTGGATATGAACATACATGCAGACTTATATAAATAAACACCTTCACACCTGTTATAGATGGATACGTGTAGATGTGTATGTATATGGATATGTGTACGTGCTTGTGTATGACTACATGTATACATATATATATATATATAGATGTGTAGAAGTGTGTATGGGTGTATTGCTGCGTGTGTACGTACGTATGCCTGTCTGGGTGGATGCATGTATGGGTGCATGCACGGCTACATGCATGCATACATGCAGGTATACATGTATGATGAAGGTATGAATGTATGAATGAATGATTGTGTGTATGTATGTATGTATGTATGTATGTATGTATGTATGTATGTATGGACGTACGTAGGTATGGATGTATGTATGTATGTATGCATGCATGCATGTATGTAAGTATGTATGTATGTATGTATGTCTGTCTGTCTGTCTGTCTGTCTGTATGTATGTATGTATGTATGTATGTATGTATGTATGTATGTATGTATGTATATATGGTTGTATGTATGTTTATATGTATGGTTGTATGTATGTATGTATGTATGCATGCGTGTATTTATATATGTAACTCGAAGGCCTTACGGCCAGTGTCGCCGACACTGAAGGGAGACGACGACGACGACGACGACGACGACGACGACGACGACGACGACGACGACGACGTCAACGGCGGTGGCGACGACGACGACGCTGACGTGGTCAAGAGTCCTCAGGGATGCGTCTTGGAGTCTATTCGGAAAGCTCTCAGGGGCCTCAGGGTAGGAATGTTGGGACCTCTTAGGAGCCTCCTGGTGGACTCTTGGGAGCCTCTTGGGGGCCTCTTCGGGCTTCCTTGGGACCTCTTGTGGACCTCTTGGGGCCTCCTGGGGGCCTCTCGGGGCCGAGGGCTCGAAATGTCCGTTCGGGTCCAACATCTGGGCACGTTCGTGGAGCCCTCTTGGGGGCCTCCTGGGCCGTCTTGCAGGCGTTCGGGATTTTCTGATATTCCTCTTGGGCTGTTTTGGAGCCCTCTTGTTGCAGCGGCGGGAAGTGGAGAAGGCGAGAATACCCAATTTTTCAAAAACAAGAAAGAAGATGGACAATCCATGAATTTGGCTTTTGGAGGCCTTCTCGGGGATGCTCTTGGAGGCTTCTTGGGGCTCCTCGAAGCATGCTGGGCAGTCTACCCACGCACCAGATTGATGACATTTACTTTGTGAAGAATGGTGCGCGGACGATCCCTTTCATGGAATCTTTCCCGACCTACGGCGGCTGCACGCTCACTCAGGGCGGCCCTTGCAACGGAGGCCATCAGAGCCCGTGGGACTCGTCAGGCAAGACTGACGACTCCGGGTGCTGGTCGTTCACTACTCACAGTATCTTGTGCGACCGTGGTATCACCTCCGACGAAGTGCATATAGAGTTCTGGTCGGTTAACTATTCTTCCACGAGCGGCTTCACGGTGAAATCATTGGACGCGGGTGGATCAGTAATTGCAATCGTGGTTCATGTTGGGTCCCAGTCAGGACTTACTGCTTGCAACGCGCTCGACGGCGTTGGGACGCCAACAATTTGTCCGGTCTCTCCTCCGACGACGTACACGCAACCTATTGCGACGCCCCTGGCACCGACCCTGGCACCGACGCCGGTGCCTTCGCCAGTGCCGACGCCCGCACCATCGGCTTCGCCAACGCCAGCACCGACGCCCGCGCCGACGTCGGCACCGACCTCAGCGCCAACATCGGTACCAACATCAGCACCGACCCCGGTTCCCACGCCAGCACCAACGCCGGCACCTACACACCTAACGTTTGCACCAACGGCAGCGCCTATTTCCGCGCCGACGCCAGCGCCTACTCCCCCAACACCGGCCCCAAAGGATGCCGCTTCGGCCGCTGGCGACCCCCTTCTCAGCAACATGCGCGGTGAGAAGTTCGACATATACCGACCGGCGACATATACCGACCGGGCAACATTAGTCTTTTACGTGTGCCTCGTTGAGCTGCGCCTGCGCGCGCGTTGCTACTCGTCGAGGTTGATGCCAGGCTCATGGGTGGCGTGTGTTCTGTTTTCTTCCAGGGCGTGACCATATCTGGGGCATGGACAAACCAAAGCAAGCCAATCCAATTCCTTGCGAGCCCGCATGGCACCCCCGAGGGAAGAAACTGGACAGATTGGATGCGTTTCGGGCCTATCGACTTGGAGGTGACACTGCAGAAGAAGGGCACGCAGTACCTGAACGTGTACGCGCGCAATGTCGGCCACAGCGGGCACGAGGTCGGTGGGTTGCTCGGCCTCGATGACCACGACGCCGTAGCCGAACGGCCTCGCAAGTATGCTCACCCACACGTTGCCGCGCTCGCCTCCTCGTTGGCGAAGGCGGCGGAGTGAGCAACAGGGGCTGATTCATTTCTTTTTCTTCTGCTCTTTCTCTCCGTCCTTGTCAACGTAAGGCTCACCAGCCAACCGCTTGAAAGCCTTACATCCCGTCTTCTAGAATGAGCGAATACCTTCATCAAAATCCCATCGCGGGCCACTTTGTATGCCACTCGCGCGTTTCCGTGTCAGGCTACCACTCCGCGTTTGCATTCTCAGCGCGCGTTTGGCGCAGCTCGCGGTTGGCGCGCATTTGGCGCGTCGACTGGAGGGCGTGAAAGAGTTAGGGGCCGATCGTTTGGCGATTGGGGACCCTCTTGGACTGTCTGGGTTGTCTCTTGGGGCACTCTTGGCCTGTCTTGCAGGGGGGGATGTGTATCTGAACCCCCGGGACCCCTCCCCTATCCCTCCCGGGAGCCCCCCCAGCCGACGGATGATGGATCAAAGGGAAGGGGTTTCTTTTCGATTCGATTCCGACATTGCTGGATGTTTCTCGGTTGGCAAGCTTGAGGAGGGTGCAGGGAAAGGGGAAGATGGAGACGCCGATTTACGGAGACGACCGCTCGAACAGGCAAGCCCGCTCACACACGCGTGCAGGATCGGCGCATTTGTATACATGCGCGTGGATCTGGCCAAGTTGCGAATTGCCTCAGAGAGCTGGCGAGAGATACGCCGTTCATATGCCCTAGCTGGAACTTCCCAGCCGAATGGAAAACCTTGCAAAGGGGCTGGCGAGCACCGTCGCTTGTCTACTACAGAATTTACCTCACGGATTCCAGAGCTGCCTGTATCATGAGCACGTGTATATGTATGTGTAGCCATAGGTTTATATTCAGAGACAAAACTATATATTCACATAGTGCGTTAGATCTCTCTCTCTCTCGCTCCCGTTGTTGATCGGTGGGTAACCTTGGAGGCTGCATCAGCGCAACGAGTAACCTATATCGGGAGGCCTTCTTGGGAGTGCTCTTGGAGGCCTCTTTGGGGCCGTCCTGGAGGCCTCTTGGGCCATCTTGAGGTCACGTCGGTCACTCTTGGAGCGCTCTTGTACTGTCTTGGGGGTCTCTGGGACGTCTCCGATGACATTCCTGATCGCCCTAGGTGTTCTGGGAAGACTTGGCAAAGCGCCATGTGAGGCCCGGGGGCCGCTTCGAGGCCCGTCTGGAGGGTCCCAAAGCCCCAGATCCCGGGAGTCCGGTTTTGGGGGGGGGGGTGATGGGTTTTCCCCCCGCCCGGGCTTATAAAAATATTGGAAGAGGAATATATGTATACATACATATATATATATATATATATATAGCACCGCACACGTTGCATCATATACATACAGCTATTTCACAACAGAGGACGCCATCTATATTTAGAAACAAATAGGCTGCACTTTGTTTTTGTCACGCCGACTGCGCGCTTCTATAACGCTTACACCACACACATTGTTCCACATACATAGGTTGTACATCGTAGTCGCACCACATACATCGCACCGCACAGATTGCAGAACCTAGGTTGCACCACATAGACTGCCCAACATACACTGGATTGCATGGAACGCAGCACATTTGGCCACATGTTTTGCACAACCTAGGTTGCACTACGTGGAGTGTTTCACATCGATTTCACCACATGAATTGCACCGCGCAGAGTGCACAACATCGATGACACACCAAATTTTGCACAACATCTGTTGCACCGCGTTGATTTCCCCATACATTGTCCGCATCGGTTGCAGACCATGAGTAACACCTCGTAGATTACACAATGTTTTTGCACAGCGTGGGTTGTACATCGTCGACTGCACAACACCGAATGCATATCATCGATTGTACAACATACATTGCTCCGCACATATTGCACAACGTATATTGCTAGGAACATACTGCGTAGGGTCCGCGCTGGCTAACATATGTACATACTCATCTCTATATATGCACACATATGAGCCACTGTGTGTGCTTCCCAGCGACGGCAGCAGGTCTGCTCGGAGCTGCTCGCGTCAGGCGGCCGCGCCACTTCTTTTCCAGAAGAGGCCATGCCCGCGCGCACCTAGACGTGGAGAGGCGTGCCGGATGCAGTTCCTGGCGATGCGTTTTTGTTCATCAAGGGTATCCGCGACTCAGTTCGGCCGGTTGCATCGAAGTCGGTTGTGATCGTCCAGGCCTCCCAGAGGGTGTCCGAGTAGATGGGGTCGGAGGGGCACGCCGCATTGCCGATGCATCGGGGATGCGGCTCGATGCTGAGTCCGACTTTCGCCACGCCGATGGCGCCCATCGCCGATGCATCGCCGATGTGGGGTGATCCTCCGATCCCAGCAGCTCGGAACCCGTTCAGTGCGGTCGGCTGCGTCGCAGTCGCTTGTGCTCGGTCGTCCCGGTTTGATTCGGTCGATCGGTGTCGTTGTCAGATTGCGTCCCTCCAGGCTGCATTCGGTGTATCGGTTTCGGTCGGTCTCGCAGTCAGTCGGTTTTGTTGTCGCCTCGGATGTCTCTGTCCATGCCTGCGCGTGCGGGCTGGGGGGGAGGGTTTCCCGGGGAGCCCTCACGACGCGCAGAGGGCCCCAGGGGCCCCGAAATGGTGCGAAAACTTGGAGCAACCTCGGGCGAGTACCACTTTGGGCAACACTCGAAAGAGTGAGCAGACTGCGTTCGGGATGCAACACCTGGGAGGTTAAATTCAGCATCGGCGCTGGTATATCCGTGGCCGAAAACTGGCCTACTCCAGCATAGTCCCGCTCAGCCAGTGCAATCACGCTCAACTTGGCTCAATCCATCTCAATCCAGGTTAATCCTGGGCCTAATTTGCCTAGGTCCCGCTCAATGGCTACTTAATCGTGTTGAATCGCCCTTCGTCGTTCTCACGATGACCTCCAAGGAGTTGCCTCCCGATTTCTAGCAGCACCCGGAGAGTGTGCAGACCATATGAGCGGGAGAGGCCCAGTCTGGGGTGGGATCGGGGACCTACGTTCGATGCGCCCCCGCTGCTGCCCACTCCCCCCTATGGCTGCCAGGGGGGAGGGGGCAGGGCGGGCAGGGCATGGATACAGTCGGACCGAGGTATAAGATCGAGGTCGGCTCGGGGAGGGTATATACCCGAATGTTCTTCATGTGTGTCGGACGTTCTTGTGAACCCCCGGGGGGGCTAGCCCAGGATGTTCTGTTTGATGTGGCAGCCGGAGGGTCTCATGTTCTTGAAGGATGTCCGTCTGGCCTAGGTCCAGCTGTATAAGAATCTCGGCCCTCGGAGTTTGAGAAGCGCGGATTTTTATCCGTCCCCCCGCTCCGCCCCCTGGAGGAGTTCTGGCGTGAGCAGGGGCATGAGCAAGACGTCGACTGGCGCCGATTCCCTCGCAGAGTGCACTGGCGTCGAGTAGCGCCTGGTATTCGATGGCGGGGCTCGAGCGAAGCGGTGTTTTGGCGGTTTCGTGCACCGTTTTCGTTTTGATTATTTTTGCAGCAAGAGCAGAATCAAGACAGAACGAATGACCAGGACAACAAAACGAAAGCGAAATACATTGTTTAGCTCGAGCCCTGCTCGATGGGACAGCGTCGATCAGCGTCGATTCGCAAGAGCCGGCAAGACGGCATAAGAGGCTCCCACCAAACACCCCAGCCCCACCCGAATGCCCCGATGTGCCAGCCTTTTCCAGTAAGGGGGGCGTCGGGGAATATTGGAAAAACACGCGTTGAACCCATAACCCCACCCCAACCCGAAGTTTTGGTCTTCGGATTTGGTCGGGATGGTTTGGTAGGTAGTCAATGGGAGGCTCTCGCGAGTTGCCGCAGAGTTCGAGGAAGAAGAAGAAGAAGAAGAAGAAGGAGAAGCAACGCCATAAGCATAAACTTTTGGCGCTCCGCGCGGATTTCTTGGATTCGCGCTGTGCTCCCCCGGCGGCGCCTGCGACAACCCCCGTGGCGCGCTCCGCGCCGAGGAGGGGGGCCCGGCGCAGATCCAAGAACTCCGCGCGGAGCGCCAACAGTTCATGCTGATGGCGTTTCTTCTCCGTGGGACGTGGCCCTGAAGCGGTCGGCAGAGCGTATGGGGCGTGGGCCCGGGCGTGGGAGTTGCCGCAGAGCGTCGGAGCGTGGCGTGGGCGTGGGCGTTGCCGCAGGGGCCCGAGCGTGGGAGCTGCCGGCGCGTGCTGGAGTTGCCGCAGAGTGTGGTCCTGGGTCCTGGGCCCGGCTTCCGACACCGCCACCAGAAGTTGAAGGGGGAGGGAGGTGGAGGAGGAGGAGGAGGAGGAGGAGGAGGAGGAGGAGGAGGAGGAGGACCCCCTCCTCCTCCCACTTCTGGTGGTGGTGGTGGTGGAAGACAGGCCCAGCATGTGGGGCGCGGCCCCGAAGCGGTCGGCAGGCCCCGGGCCCCCTCGCGCGCAGGCCCGCGGCTTCCTCGCGTGCGGGGCCATGCGCCCCCCCGCGGCCCGCGGCGGCGCCCAGAGCGCCGAGCTCGCGCCGCCTCGCTCTCGCTGTCGGGGGTGCTGCGGGAGGCGCCCCCTGGCGGAAGGCGCTCCCAGCCTTCAGGCGCGGCCTGTCCTTCGACAGGGGGAATATCCCAAGAGGGTCACACACAGACAGCAAATAGTCTGGGGGCGATTTTGTCTGATTATGTTTTGACCATGTGGGAGCATGTTTGGTGTCTGTTTCATTTTTTGCCCAGCATCCGCCTGAAGGGGGGACATGCCCGACCTAACCCCAGATGTTCCCTCCAGTTTGGAGCCCCCTGGGGTCGTCCCCCCCCTCCCCGCCTCGATCCTGATATCATGTTGGCTGCGGCTCCCTCCTCTGCCCAGACCGCCACCAGTCGTCGTGCTCCCTCTTCTCTCCCGCTCCCGCTCCTGCTCCTCGCGGTGTCCTCTTCTCTACCCCACGGCAAGCGAAGACGGCCGTAGGGAGGGGTGCCAACGTACTTCCACAACTCCGACCTTACAGTCAACATTGATAGTAAGGATGATCGACTTCCCAAGGGTACCCTTGCATCCTTGCCTCTTTGGTCATCTTCTGTCAATCCTCAAGCACTCTCGATGGTCAGCCCTTCTCGAAAAGCTTCGGCGTGGGCGTGCCCTTGCATCCTTATCGCGCATCCTTACTATCAGCTCTAACTGCAATGCCCGAAGGCGACAGTGTGCCACCATCCATCTTTTCCTGCCCCATTGGCTCCTCCCGCTGCCGCCTCCCTCCCCCATCGGCCGCAGGCGCCTCGCTCGCGGTGCTGTACGGCGTTGCCATATGGGGGTTGGTCGAGGCAGCTTGGCGGGTGTAGCCGCGCGGATGGGCAGCGGGTAGGAGGCAGCCGCAGCAGCGCGAGGAGGTGGAGCCGCAGCGGGAGTTGGATGAGAGGCAGGGGGGAGCGGCGCGGAATGAGCAGGAGGAGGACGAGCAGCAGGAGGACGAGAAGGAGAGGGAGGACGAGGTGGAGGAGGTGAGGAACGCGAAGAGTCAGAGCAGAAGGTACACATGAACAGGAGGGAGAGGTGACTGATGATGATGCGGATGCTGATGCGGATGCTGATGCTGATGCTGATGCTGATGAGGAGAAGGAGGAGGGGGAGGAGGAAAAGGAGCAGGAGGACGTGAAGGAGAGTAGGAGGAGGAAGAGGGGAAGGAGCAGGATGATAATGGTAGGAGCAAGCGCCGTTACAGAGGCAGGAGCAGGGGGAGGAGAAAGAGGACGATAAGGAGGTAGCTGGGGTGAGGGTGATAGGAAGGGGAAGGGCGAGGCAGAGGGGGCATTGAGGATGTGGTGGCGGCGAGCGTGGATGATAAGGACGATGAGAGGAGGGTGTGGAGAAGGAAGAGAAGGTCAATGACAGTGGCCAGCAGGAAAGGGAGGGCGATGTGGACGAGGAGGAGGGGGGGGAGGAGCAACATGCGTACGAGGGGCAGGCGAATGAAGAGGAGGACGACGACGACGATGAGGGCTAGGCTGATGATGATGAGGGGGAGGAGGAGCATTGGTGAGGACGGTGAGTAGTGGAATGTGATGCGGAGTATGACGGCGACGAGGAACAAGGGAACGCAAATATTTTGGTGGCTCAATGGGAAGGGATGCAGCCATGGCCTGCAACCCGGTAAGATGGGAGCATCTGACCTTGCATGTTGGGGCAAGATTGCGAGTTGTCGACAAGCCGTGTTTCGCCCAGTTTCGGGGAAGCGTAAGACCCGGGTTTGCCAGGACTCGGGTTCGCCATCGTTTTTTGACGACCGCGCCTCGGATTTTGACGAGGAGGAGTTTCGTGGGATGTCTGCAGCGGGAGGCCTCGTCAAAATGCAGGCTCGGCCTCGTCATTCCCAACCATCCTGTGGTGTTGGGTCCTCGTTTTGAAGAGACGGTGCCCCGCGTTCTCCTTCCTTCCTTCCTCCCGCTGCCTCCTCCCCCCTCCCATCATCATCATCATCAACACCCATTTCGGCACACCCCTCACACGCTTCGTGGCTCCATAGGGAGCTCCACCGAAGGCCCCAGTGCCCGCGGCCGCATGCGTCCCCCACACCCATTTCGGCACACCCCTCACACGTTTCGTGGCTCCATAGGGAGCTCCACCGAAGGCCCCAGTGCCCGCGGCCGCATGCGTCCCACACCACATTTCGGCACACACCCATTTCGGTTTCGTGGCTCCATAGGGAGCTCCACCGAAGGCCCCAGTGCCCCGGCCGCATGCGTCCCCCACACCCATTTCGGCACACCCCTCACACGTTTCGTGGCTCCATAGGGAGCTCCACCGAAGGCCCCACCGCATGCGTCCCCACACCCATTTCGGCACACCCCTCACACGTTTCGTGGCTCCATAGGGAGCTCCACCGAAGGCCCCAGTGCCCGCGGCCGCATGCGTCCCCCACCCATTTCGGCACACCCCTCACACGTTTCGTGGCTCCATAGGGAGCTCCACCGAAGGCCCCAGTGCCCGCGGCCGCATGCGTCCCCCACACCCATTTCGGCACACCCCTCACACGTTTCGTGGCTCCATAGGGAGCTCCACCGAAGGCCCCAGTGCCCGCGGCCGCATGCGTCCCCCACACCCATTTCGGCACACCCCTCACACGTTTCGTGGCTCCATAGGGAGCTCCACCGAAGGCCCCAGTGCCCGCGGCCGCATGCGTCCCCCACACCCATTTCGGCACACCCCTCACACGTTTCGTGGCTCCATAGGGAGCTCCACCGAAGGCCCCAGTGCCCGCGGCCGCATGCGTCCCCCACACCCATTTCGGCACACCCCTCACACGTTTCGTGGCTCCATAGGGAGCTCCACCGAAGGCCCCAGTGCCCGCGGCCGCATGCGTCCCCCACACCCATTTCGGCACACCCCTCACACGTTTCGTGGCTCCATAGGGAGCTCCACCGAAGGCCCCAGTGCCCGCGGCCGCATGCGTCCCCCACACCCATTTCGGCACACCCCTCACACGTTTCGTGGCTCCATAGGGAGCTCCACCGAAGGCCCCAGTGCCCGCGGCCGCATGCGTCCCCCACACCCATTTCGGCACACCCCTCACACGTTTCGTGGCTCCATAGGGAGCTCCACCGAAGGCCCCAGTGCCCGCGGCCGCATGCGTCCCCCACACCCATTTCGGCACACCCCTCACACGTTTCGTGGCTCCATAGGGAGCTCCACCGAAGGCCCCAGTGCCCGCGGCCGCATGCGTCACCCACACCCATTTCGGCACACCCCTCACACGTTTCGTGGCTCCATAGGGAGCTCCACCGAAGGCCTCAGTGCCGCCGCCCGCATGCGTCACCCCCACCCATTTCGGCACCCCCCCCGCATTTCTCGCACGGCAGGGTCATCACCACGGTGGCGTGCCAGGGGCGCACCATGCGCGAAGGCGACGGGGCGGGGGAACGGCGCTCCGGGGGCGGCCAGACCTCCGGGGCGCGAGCAGTCCGCGGCCAGACCATCTCTCGGTCCTGTGGACTCTCGCCCTGGGCCGTCGGCTGCCCGGCGCGCTGCTCCCTCGGTCGACGTCGCCCAGGCGTGATCCTGGATTGCGGCCGCCACGAGGTAGGGAACGGCAAGAAGGAGGACGACGACTGGTGGCTGGAGCTCTACGTGCTGCTCTCGCGCGCCACGCGCCACGAGGACCTCCTGCTCATGCGGGCGCCGCGCATCGAGTTCTTCCTGGCAGGGCCGCCGCAGGGCTTGCGGAAGCAGCTGGAGCAGTTTGCGGCGCGCACGAAGCGGTGCAGGAGGGAAGCGACGGCCCTCGCCAGGGAGCTCGGCTTCACCGAGTTCATCCGCGAGGCCTGACCTGAGGAGCGTCTCCCCCGAGCCGCGCCTTCTCTCGACTGCCCGACTAATTGTTTGGCCTCGCGCCGCGGACGACCCGCGCGCGTCGCTGGGACCCTCTCGGGGCGACCAGCGCGCGTCGCGGGAACTCCGTGCTGCGGGGGGCCCGGCGCCTCGTTCGCCCGTCGTCGCTCTGCCCAGCGGTCAGAGACTTGCCCGCTATCAGCCAGCCAGTTAGCTAGTCAGCTCTCTCTGCTTCGCGCAGCGGACGACCCGCGCGCGTCGCTGGGACCCCGCCCGGGGCGACCAGCGCGCGTCGCGGGGACTCCGCGCTGCGCTGCGCCCGCAGCCTTGGATTTTGGAGTGCGCGGGCAAAGAGGAAGGAAAAGAAGAGCCGAAAGCGGGCGCGATCCTCGCAAGAGGCGCGCCGACATGGGCGTCGCGACGTGCGGACGCTGCCGTCGGGGTTCCCGCGGAAGCTGCCTGCGGCGGCCACGCCCAGTGTCACGTGTGTTCGGACAGGCATGCTCGACACTTACACTAGGCGGTTCCATGATCGCACTCATGCAAATATATTCACTTGCGCGCAGACCCATTCATGCTCAGATTCCCTCGCGCTCTGACTCACCCGCGTTCTTTCTCTCGTAATCAGATCTATCGTATTCGTTTGCGTTGTGTGCCCCGCCACATTTCGGCACACCCCTCATGCGGTTCGTGGCCCCATAGGGAGCGCCACCGAAGAAGATACTCACATTTGCGATACTCACAACTGCATATGGTTGGGTCCTTCGCCAGGATAATTTGTTTGACGACCTCGTCGGGGATTTCCGAGTCCCCTGTACCTGGGTCTTACGTCCCCCCGACAGTTGTTGAACGATTTGTGTGAGCGTGTGTGTGTGTGTGTGTGTGTGTGTGTGTGTGTGTTGTGTTGTGCGTTGCGTGCTGAGTGCAGGGTGTTGCGCTGGGTGTTTTGTGCTGTGTGTTGTGTGGTGTGCGTTGTGTGATGTGTGGTGTGGGGTGTGGGTGATGGGGTGTGGGTTGTGGGTTGCGGGTGGGTTGTGGGTTGCGGTTTGTGGGTTGTGGGATGTGGGATGTCGGTTGTGGGTTGGGGGTTGTGGGTTGTGGGTGGTGTGTGGTGTGCTGTGTGTTGTGTGTGGTGTGTGGTGTGTGGGTTGTGGGTTGTGAGATGTGGCTTGTGGGATGTGGGATGTGGGTTGTGGGATGTGGGTTGTGGGTAGTGTGTGTGGTGTGCTGTGTGTGAGGTGTGGTGTGTGGTGTGTGGTGTGTGGTGTGTGGTGCGTGGTGTGTGGTGTGTGGTGCGTGGTACGTGGTGCGTGGTGTGTGGTGTGTGGGATGTCGGTTGTGGGTTGTGGGTAGTGGGTGGTGTGTGGTTGTTGGTGTGTTGTGGGTTGTGTGCGGTGTGTGGTATGTGGGTTGTGGGTTGTGCGATGTGGTTTGTGGCTTATAGGATGTGGGATGTGGGTTGTGGGCTGTGTGTGCTGTGTGCTGTGTGGTGCGTGGTGTGTGGTGTGTGGTGTGTTGTGCGTGGTGCGTGGTGTGTGGTGCGTGGTGTGTGGTGTGTGGTGTGTGGTGCGTGGTGTGTGGTGTGTGGTGAGTGGTGTGTGGTGTGTGGTGTGTGGTGTGTGGTGTGTGTGTGTGGTGTGTGGTGTGTGGTGTGTGGTGTGTGGTGTGTGGTGTGTGGTGTGTGGTGTGTGGTGCGTGGTGCGTGGTGCGTGGTGTGTGGTGTGTGGTGTGTGGTGTGTGTGTGTGTGTGTGACGGTGGCGATGCCTGTTGTCGGCGCGGTGGAGTTCGCAACGATGGGAAATGCCAAGATTGGCAGCAGCATTCTGCCGCGGGGCTTCGTGGCCATGCACCCCGCGGGGTCGACAGAGCGCTCGACCAGCTGAAGGAGGAGGAGAAGCTGGAGGGCATCTGCACCCCGTTGGAGGCGACCATCCCCGAGTTCGGCGAGGACGCGTTCGACTTGTGGACCTGATTTGTAAACGCCACAAGACTCACCCCGACCCACAATGGCGGCGACGGGCAGCATTGCGCAACGGCTGAACAAGACCACAGGGACCGTCGACACCCATGTCCAGCACGTGGGCGGCGGGCTGAATAAGGGCAAGGCGATGACCACGCCAGGGCTTCGAGGCGCGCGGAGGACAACGGCGACGAGAAACCTGGCCCAGAGTATGAAATTGAAGGGGTCCTTGCCGAGGAGCTCGATGCTGCTGGGGCCTCTCCTCGCGGTCAAACTGGCTGCGCATTATGAGATCACCACGAGGATCATAGCGGCCAACCGAGGGGGGTACGTTCCTGGCTTTTGTCGTTGCACGTCCTGGGTTCTCGCGGGGGGCCACGTCAGGAAGTTGACTGCCACCCTCGCGAAGCCGCTGAGGTCCCTGCTCGGCGGGCGCTGACCGAAGTGGACGGACGATTGTGGCGGTCGAGGGCTCGCGATTGCACTGATTACTGGAAGTTGGCGAAGCCGTCGGCTGAGCTGTGAGTGCGTCGTCTACTGCTTTTCCAGCGCCCCACCAACCGATCAGGGCGGCATTCGGACAGGCGCGCTGCGAGAGTGAGATGCGGATCGACAGGATGGGCGACGAGGGGTGGTCGAAACCGTGCTCAACACAGATGCCCACAGCTATGCGAGGACCTATGGGGATTGGGCAAAGGAAGTGGTGGTGACAAGCTGTGGGATGCGCTGGAGGGGGCTCTTGGCGGCATGATGGACATATTATTTGAATGAGGCGCTCATGGACAACATATCACACTTGATCCGCGTGTCCATCGGGCCTTCGGATGGCCGTACTGAGTGCGCCCTCCCCCCCGAGTTTCTCGTCGTTTGCTACGCCCGGGCCCGCGCCGGGCCACGCGGCGTTCGCTGGAAGGGCCGCTGACGGCGGGAGCGTCAAGACCCATGGGGCAGACTTCGAGAGCGCAGAGAAAGAATACGCAACGTGGAACAGTCGAGTTGCGTCGTGTGTTGGTGTGTAGCGCAGGTCTCGAGAGCGTGAGTCGTGATGAGTTCAGGTCGTTTCCACGTTCATGCGGATGTTGTGTTCTTGTTCGATGGGTCTTACGTGCATCGAGGTCGCCCCCGATGTGTGTCCAGTCCAGTGCAAGAACGACAGAAAGAGGGAGGGGCGAGTAATGGGGTAGGGGGGAGGATGTTGAGGAGGAGGAGGAGGAGGGGGGGGAAAGGGAGGTGAGGGTCGGGTCGTGAAGAGAGGAGGGCGGAGGGAAACGCCCGAGGACGAGGTCGGAGGTCAGGAGACCGAGGCGGAGTTGGATGAGGAAGGCACGGATGTTGAGGACGGCGGGGATCAGGGGGACGAGGATGAGGATGAGGACGGATAGGAGGACGAACGCGAGGACGGGCAGGGGGATCTTGGTGGATGACAACGGTGGGTGAGGATACGCAGGAGGAGAAATGGGGGGGAGGGAGGGGACGAGACGGGCGCGGCAGGGGTTGTGGGCGGGGGGGGGGGTCCGGGGGGGGCAGAGGCCCGTCGAGGGATGACGAGCCGATCTGATGCCACCGACCCGTGCCACACGGGGTGCCAGGGCTGCATGGGCCTCTCGGGCGTCGACGACGCAGGTTCCGAGGGCGGCGAGGACAAGGCTCTCCGCGCGCCCCACCGACGTTGGCGCTCTCCGCGGGAGGGAGGACAGCACAAGGATGGAGATTCGAGGGCCGAAGATCGAGGATGTAGTTTTGTCGAGCTGGTTATTGATGCCCGGGGCCTCCTTGTGGCAATGGCTGGATCCGCCCCCAAGCCTTGGTCAGGACGCACCTTGGGATGGGTCAGGAGGTCGAGTTCTGACCCCCAAGGCCAGACCCCTATTCGTAGCTCGGACATCCCGACGGGAGACTTCTTCAAGTTTTCAGCTTCCCCTGGACCGTCAAGGCATTGCCCAGCAGGGTGAGAAACTGGCCCGGGGGAGGAAATCGAGCTCTCTGGTCCGGAAATCCAAAGTGGAAAAAAGACGCAATGTCGCAGTTGGGTTGGCACTCGCTGGCGAGATGTTTCTTGCGCACACATGGATGGTCAACTCCTCTTCGCCCACCCCTCCCTCGCAAGCTCCAGTCCACATGTTTATCCCCTCGTCACCTCCATCATCCTGCTCACCACATGTCTTAATTGAGAGGCTCATGGTGGGCAGGGCTGGTGACATCCACACTTCTCATTTGTCCGTTCGCGTGCGTGTGCAGAGTTTCCGCGTGCACAGTTCAGGCATAGGGCAAAGGCATCCTGTGTGTTTCTTCCTCTCCTTGCCTCTCACGTTGCCTGTGGCCGATCTGGAGGTTGGCTCGTCCATGCTTGCGTAATTCGGCCGACGAGGAGGTTGGCGAGCTTGCGGAGCGCCCTGATCGTCCTTCGGGTGCCCTCATCCGACTCCCGAGGCCGATGCCACAAACGTACATGGAGAATCCCTCGGCGGGGGCCAGGTCTGGGGGCCACTGGGTGCCCCTGTCGCCCCTTTGATGTCCGCTGTGGAGTGCGGCAGGATTGCTGATTGCTCGTGCGTTGCGTCACCCACACTGCATTGCCAGCTGTTCGGGACCACCACGTTCAGAATTGCAATTGCCGGTCGCCCAGGCAAGTGTCATGAACGTGCGTCCGTGCTTCACAGATCTGGATTCCTTTCCGGGCTCATGTTTTAGCAAAAGTCGTGGAGGGTTTTTCGGCAGCTAGTTCTTTGAGTGGCCAGATTGGAAATCGCAATCCATCGCCACTCCGTGCATGACAGCTTCGGCCTACTCAGGCGTTTCTTCATCAATCGCCGTGCAAGGGAGACGGCATGATTGAGCCGAACTTGTCCTCGCCCGTGCGCTCTGACGGCGAGGAGCACGATGTTGTTGCTACGAAAGATTGGGCAGCCAGTTAATTGTTGCTAAGGCCTTACGCCGGTGCCGCCGACCCGCCTCGGCCCTCGACGGAATGGGAGGGAGAGCGCGCTCCCGACACGCCCCGGGAGGGTGGTATTCTGACCCGGGAGAACCTCTTGGGACGCCCCCTTTGGACCCTTCCCAGGGACCCCCTCCCGGGACCCCCCCCCCCAGGACCCTCCACCCCCCGCGGGGAAGGGATCAAAGGGAAGGGGCTTCTCTTCGACTCAATGACAGCGTTGCTGAGTTTCGTTGTGGATGGGCTGGTGCATTTCGCTTTGGCTGGCGTGTTCAAGGACGAGGGCCCACGGAAAGGAAGGGAGCGGCGGTGGACTCAGGGGAAGGAGGGGACGTGATGGCGGCGGCGACGCGACGGCGGTAGCGACGGCGATGGCGACCGAACAGCCCTTGTCACACGCCGACAGGGTCGGCGGGTTTGAGTGGTCAGCGTGTGAATCGCGGTTCAGTGCCTCTCATGGACATGCGTGTTTTTTGTCCCAACCATCCTGTGGTGTTGGGTCCTCGTTTTGAAGAGACGTCGCCCCGCGTTCTCCTCTCCTCTCCTCTCATCTCCTCTCCTCCTCCCCCTCCTCCCTCCTCCCTCCTCCCACCATCATCATCGTCATCATCCTCCATTTCGGCACACCCCTCACACGTTTCGTGGCCCCATAGGGAGCCCCACCGAAGGCCCCAGTGCTGCCGCCCGCATGCGTCACCCACACCCAATTCGGCACACCCCTCACACGTTTCGTGGCCCCATAGGGAGCTCCACCGAAGGCCCCAGTGGCCCGCCCGCATGCGTCCCGCACACCCATTTCGGCACACCCCTCACACGTTTCGTGGCCCCATAGGGAGCCCCACCGAAGGCCCCAGTGCTGCCGCCCGCATGCGTCCCGCACACCCATTTCGGCACACCCCTCACACGTTTCGTGGCCCCATAGGGAGCCCCACCGAAGGCCCCAGTGCTGCCGCCCGCATGCGTCCCGCACACCCCATTCGGCACACCCCTCACACGTTTCGTGGCCCCATAGGGAGCCCCACCGAAGGCCCCAGTGCTGCCGCCCGCATGCGTCCCGCACACCCAATTCGGCACACCCCTCACACGTTTCGTGGCCCCATAGGGAGCCCCACCGAAGGCCCCAGTGCTGCCGCCCGCATGCGTCACGCACACCCAATTCGGCACACCCCTCACACGTTTCGTGGCCCCATGTGCTGCATCAATTCGGCACACCCCTCACACGCTTCGTGGCCCCATAGGGAGCCCACCGAAGGCCCCAGTGCTGCCGCCCGCATGCGTCCCGCACTCCCAATTCGGCACACCCCTCACACGCTTCGTGGCCCCATAGGGAGCCCCACCGAAGGCCCCAGTGCTGCCGCCCGCATGCGTCCCGCACACCCAACTCGGCACACCCCTCACACGTTTCGTGGCCCCATAGGGAGCTCCACCGAAGGCCCCAGAGCTGCCGCCTGCATGCGTCACCCACACCCAGTTCGGCACACCCCTCATTCGTTCCGTGGCCCCATAGGGAGCCCCACCGAAGGCCCCAGTGGCGGCGCTCACATGCGCATGCGTCCCGCACACCCATTTCGGCACATCCCTCACAGGTTTCGTGGCCCCATCATCCACCGGAGGCCCCAGTGGCGGCGCTCACATGCGCCACCCACACCCACCCAATTCGGCACACCCCTCACACGTTTCGTGGCCCCATAGGGAGCTCCACCGAAGGCCCCAGCGGCCGCGCTCACATGCGTCCCCGCCACCCATCCCGGCACGCCCCTCACAACAGCAGGTTTCGTGGCCCATAGGGAGCTCCACCGAAGGCCCCAGTGGCACCGCCCGCATGCGTCACCACCCGCACCCAACTCGGCACACCCCTCACACGCTTCGTGGCTCCATAGGGAGCTGCACCGAAGGCCCCAGTGGCGGCGCTCACATGCGTCCCCGCCACACATCCCAGTACACCCCTCACGCGCTTCGTGGCCCCATAGGGAGCTCCACCGAAGGCCCCAGTAGCGGCGCTTACATGCGTCTCCGCCACCCATCCCGGCACCCCCGCCGCAGCAGCATTATGTTTCGGGGACCCATAGGGAGCTCCACTGGAGGCCCCACTGGCGGCCCTCACATGCGTTTCCGCCACCCATGTCGGCACGCCCCGCGCGTGTTTCATGCCCCCATAGGGAGCTTCGCCGAATGCCCCAGTGGCACCCATCTCGGCACACCCCTCACACGTTCCGTAGTCCTATGGGGAGTTCCTTTGAAGATGAAACCCGCAGCTGCGGTACTGACACCTGCAGATGGTTGGGTTCTTCGCCAGGCTAATTTTGTTTTGTTGATACAGTTCGTTGCGTGGAATGTGCATCCATCGCCACGCAATGGAGACGTCATAGTTTGATCTTTGTTGTCTCCTTTTCGTCCAAAATCCCCTCTAGGAGGAAATGGCCACCCGTTGGAGCACGAAGAATCGGCTCTTGGAGCCTTCTTGGGACGCCCTGGGGCCGCTCCTGGGCGCATCTGAGGCCGTCTTGTATCCCTTCTTGCCCCCCCTCGGGGCGCAGGCGACAAAAAGCCATCAGGGAGACATCCTTGACCAGCCTATGAAAATTGGAAGTGGAGTGGCATGTCGGGGGCATCCTTGGGAGGCTCCGAGGCCACCTCGAGCCGTCTTGGGGCCTCTTGTGGGCATGCCGGACACAATCTTGAACCATGATGGACCATTTTACGCAATAGTGTAAACAATTTGTAATTTTTCGGGGGCCACGAAATAGGCGTCTCAAATTTGCCTCGCTCCGTCGAAACCTCTACCTCTTGGCTCCTTCTTGGGGCGCTCTCGGGCCGTCCTGGGGCGCTCCTGAGCCCCCGTCTTAGGGCTCCTTTTGACGATCTTGGATCCATCTTGAGGGCTCAGAAGGTCGCGAGACCCTGTGGCCAATCGGAACCATCGTGGCGCTGCCTTGCGGCCTCTTGAAGGCGTGGTGGAGGTCCACGGCAGAGCGATTCTCGTGAGCTGGACGCCAGACGCCAGACATTGGACACCGGACACCAGTCCACCAGTCGCCAGTCGCCAGATGCGGGCTCTCTTTGCGCCTTCTTCGGGCTCTCTTTTCCGTCGGGGGGGTGTCTCTTTGGGCCGTCTTGAGGAGGAGCGAGGAGCGGAGAGACCAGGGCGAGGCGGAGGGAGGGAGACGTGGGAGCGAGGAGCGAGGAGGGAAATTGCCCAGTGCGGATGGTGCCGACAATGGTTGGTGCCAGCCCCAGAGGTCGAGCCCAAGCGCACTGGCCAAAGCGAGGCCCACATGGCAACGGCCAGAAACGGCCGACTGCGGCCTGCATGCGTTCTTCATGCGTTATGTATTCTGTATCGTTCTTTATGCGCTACTCCCTGGGAAAAAGGGGCTTCGTTCCTTATGTATCGTTCCTCAGGTCAGGCCGATGACTGTAGCGCACCCGTCTTATGCCACCGACTGGGAGCGGTCGCCTGCGGCCCAGGGGGGGCCATAGAGCACCGACGCACAGGTTGCCAGCCTGGGACATATCCCCATCCCTATGATTGTCGTCGCATTCTTTCGGTGCTGGCCGTAAGGGTTCCCTCAGTTTTGGGTTCGGCGGCGAAGTCCGAACCCTACCCTCGCCGATCAACGGTTCAGGCAACACGATGGGCGGCGGGGGTTCGGTCCAGAATTCATCGAACACTTGGCGAAGTCCGAACCCACCCCCCGCCTCCCATCGATT